CATGGAATAGTAACCCGCAATCTGTTAGGATCATTCTTCTTCATAGCTATATAATATATATACGATGAATTAATATTCTGATTTATTATTCACTTAAATAAAGTTATATTTAGATTATATTTCTTATCACAAACAAATTAGTCACTCATCGTTATCATTATTTAGCACTTTTGTTAATTCTGAGTCTAAATGTTGAGTTTCCGAGTTTTAGGTTGATGAGTAAAACTTTATTACTTATTATGTCTTCATTTTATAATGGCTCAGCTAAACAGAATTCACTCTCTGTTTTATATGTCCATAGACAATTCTCCAGAAGTTACTCCATTTTAGAACAATTTTCCAGCAGATAAATTAAAGAAATTGCTAATGTGTTGCTTAAATACTCACTAAGAACTTGAACATCTTGGGCGTTTAAGGTAATGCAACTACTGATAGACTATTTTGTAATTAGGAAATGGCTGGAAGGCCACTTACTTTCACTCAACCTTGCTTCACACTAGGTCCTATACTCGTTTACTTACGAGAAATTGAACTATCAGTCCCTACATCACCTCAAGCAATTTTAGGTTACTTAAGTCCTTGTTTAAGATCTAGTAATAGTTTTGTAACCTACTCACATTCAGAGCCAATCAGCAGTTTGATTTATTTCAGGATGCTCATGCTGAATGTGGTAAATCAAATGATCAAACCTCGGTATTTTCACCTTTTGTAGCTTTTTATTCAATTCATTATCATTTTATTATTAAGGGAGCTTATGGTATCATAATATTATTATTAAAGATATGAAGACCAAGATGTTGTGGCCTCTGTTATGGTCGCAGTCTCCTTTCGACAACGAGGTCAACCCACTTCTATAATATTATTCTGTTTGCTGACAATTTCATCAATTCGAACTTTTAAGGTGTGCTCTTTGCTTAGCTACAGGTGTTGTTTATATTGAAGAACATTTTCGCGTGTTGGCTTGAAGAAGCTTAATATGAACCTGATTAGCATAAAAAATGATATCTCCATCTCCTCATTATGGCACTACTACTTATTTCGATGAATCAGCCTGCTTTGAGTGTTAATGATATCTTTGCCATTTTACTATAACTTGACCTTTGAGCTTTGGCTTGGAGACTTCATCTATTTTGATCCTGACGCTGACTCATTTGCCACGGGATGGTTGACTTTTTCTAGGCTCTGCTTCTACTCACTCGCTGGCATCGCCTTCTTACTGTGGCTATTGCGCAACATCGTCTGGCTGGTTTGGAGCGCTCAAGTCGTCGATCGGTCACGTCATTGGCGACCACTTCTTTAGGTTCTTGTACCTTGAATCTCGCCTCGAAAGATAGACCCTCATCCTCCATTCGCTCTTCCAGTGACCATGAAGTCCGACCTAGTAGCCATAACAGCAGCACTATTAGCTACTATGATAACAAGGAGAGATGCCGCCAGCGGCATCTATCGCGGCGGCTAAACCGGCGGAATCACGAGCGCCGTGCTACGTCCATATCTTACAGTGAATCAGCTAAAAAAATCATCGAGCCTTTACAAAGTCAAAGAACCGCTGTACTAGCTTACACCAAAAGCTCGGCTAGCTGCATCGAAAGCAATAGGAATATCAGTAATTTATATGATTGTGAGCCAGATACAAACCTGCATGCCACCAAGGCTATTCTGAAAGATTGTGATGGTTTTTCTGAACTGGCAAATCCTGAAAGACTTGTCGATTCGCGTAACGATACTGGAGTCTGGATGGGTCATGACATTGGGCCAGCCCCTGCCGGCCTTCTTAGCGGCTGGCCTTCAGGGTCAGGCCGCCTGGAGACCTTTTTTTCAAGCCAATCAAGTCGATGGAGGCACGGTTTCGACCAGCTTGCCAACTGGACACGCCCAGATAGTAATCAGCTAGCAGCAAGTGTTAACCAGGCCTGGAAGACCTCGAGTAGTTGGGTAGAACCGTGGAAGCATGGAGCCCCAGATAAATCGGAGGTTGAGATAGCAACGGAAGGAATAGGAAAAGTACCAGTTGGTGCTGAATTAGAACCCAAGGGCAGTTTGCAAGGTGATCAACGGAGTTTGGGGAATATAGCTACCAAGTTTTCTGTTCTCTCGCCAAGAAAGACAAATGTGCTAAATCCTAGCCGACTACATCCAGCCTTGCACGAATAACTCGACCTCTTGAAACTGAGTCTACGGCAGCGATGTTTGTAGCCGAATTTCAACCATTCTTCTAGTCTGTCAATCCTAACTAATGCCTTCGCTACAGTGCTTACGTTCACCAATAACTCGTTATTTTGAAGGAGAGCAATCTGATCCCTATTACTGTGGCTTATAAATAATAGCCGGAGCTGCTCTTCATCCTACACACTACGGCATTGCTATTGGCTGTCGAAAACCTGCTGCATACTGTAGGAAGTCATATTTCCTAGGTGTTGTTTCCATTGTAGTTCTTGCTTGTTTGTTCACGTTTCTTGTCATTCTTACAATTATTTTGCTTCAGTATCTTTTTATATGTGTTATCAAGTGTTTGTGTTGCTTCTTTCTATGTTGTAACATACTTCATGACTGCATGACCAGTGGCAGAATTCTATGCTAAACCATAAGATGCATATTGTTGGGGAGACCTTTATTTCGCATGAAAGTGCATGAAAAAGAGATTTGTAACTTGATCTCATCAGAAGACGACAGCTCATTTCCGTTGTACTACAGCTGTTTGGCTTTAATACTTTTTTTCGTATTTAAGTAGATTTTCGAGACTTCCAGTAAATCAGTAATATGAGATGAATTCACCCTATTTCGTTTAAGGTGATGAAGGACTGGTAGTAGAATTTTGCCACAATGATATGAGTAGAGCTGACCTTTTCATTGAATTTCACATAGCCTTGCTTTCCCAAAAATTGTTCTCACCCAGGTTGGACTGCAGTTTCGACCTTGCATTGATCTTATCAATACCCCCAGCGGGAGCCCAATCGTGACAGTGCAGAATGTGAGCTTGATATTCAGAGTCCAACATTTAGTTCTTTTGATCACTCTGATTTAGGACCAATATTGCGTATAGACGTCAATACACGCGCTCGAGCAAAAGTAGCAGGATCGATATGAAAGATAATTAGCCACACCGTTCTATATATATATATTTGTACACATTTACTTTCATTTTTTAGTTGAGTGTATATAAAAGGTCAGATAGATTCGGACAGTTTTCTTGACATAGCGCTTGCATTGGACTTTTACAAGGATGAGTTCTAGCTCTAATGATGTTCATCATATGATAGAAGAAAGCTCAGACCGTTTTCACCTGAAACGAGAGAGGATGTCTCGTGGACTGCGTTAACCTGAATGTCATATTAAAGCCAAACGGCTGCAGTAAAACTGGAATCAGCTGTCGTCATCCGGTGAGATCAACATATGA